ATACCGCAATAATTGTACAAACTGTTACAATCTATAAGACATTTCATACATTTTTATTAAATTAATAACTAACGATTAGTTAAAACAATATATTAAATATGTAAACGTTAAATGTCTAAACGGGAACTTTCGTATATATATATCTTAAGCAAAAATTATTACTTTCATAAAATATATCTCTGCATACAGTAAAATTGTGTTTTACTGGACCCTCTCCCCCTGTGGAATCCTAACCTTTGGCTCTGATCGGTTGACGCCTGGTTTAAATAGTTTTTTTTTTTGTTGTCATCAATGATTACATGAAATTATTTCCCCTTTTATATAGTGTTGTATAGTAAGTATCAAAATATTCATGGCAGTTACTTAGCTGTCAATAGCTTAGACGAAACGTATTGAAGTCAGTTTATAGTAACTTATACTTAAATTAATTTTTCAAATCAAAATATCTGAACATGCGATCTTAGTTAGGCATTGTGGGAAGCAAAACTAAATAAAATTGAAAATAATTTAATTAAAGTGATTTAGGGAGGGAAGTCCGATTTAATAATAATAAACATTGAAGATAAAAATGTTTTTGTTGGATTTTTTTCCACTTAAACATACCAATGAAGCCCAATCTCTTCCCATGGAATTTATAGCAAAACATGGAATGATGGTTATAAAAAAACGCAATTTAATTAGGAACGTTGTATATGGTGTAAATTAACATGAAAATACAAAGCGAACCCTACTTTATCGTCGGCCTCTACACATTTACATGTTTATCATATACTTTAACATAATTCATTACAAAGACAAAAACAAATTTTCAATGCTCGTATGTAAATTTCTCCAAGGATAGTGAAAGTTATGCAACCTCCAGTTATCAATTAACCGGCCATGAACACAAACCAGACATAATAATATTAAACTCGAAAAATTTCCCTTCACGTTTCGTTTACGCGTTAAGTGTTGTTCTTTATAATATTTTAGATGGACCAATTAAGGCATTTTCACTCATTTCGGTATTTGTTGTTCGATATTCGGTAATGAGAATTGATGATTGAGATGAGCAGCATTTTTTTTTTCTTATTTTTAAAAACACTGCCCTTACTTTAGGTTAACATTATCCTGTGTTGTTGACGTTTTTACAAACATAAATTTCACGCAGACAAACACCCAGATGCGAACAAACTATCTGTGGGTCACACAAATAGTTGTCCCGTGTGGGAATCGAACTCACGACCCACGACGCCAAAGCCAATACCTTGGCAACTTCGCCACGGAGTCATCAAAATATCATCGACGTAATCTTAACGGGCAGCCGTAGGCTCTCCGCTACAATGTGCTTTGTAAAATCAATTGTCACTCGCGCCGTTATCAATACCACTTAGGGATCATACCCTTTTGCCAAGGTTTTTTTTAATGTTAGAAGGTGGCAAACTTGGCAAGCGAGGTTTGTTGAGAACCGTAAACGAAGTGGGCCCCGGCTACCTCACTCACCAGACGAAACGCAGAAGTATAACACTTCCACTTCACGCCGGTGTTCTGTGAGGTCGTGGTACTTACCCGGACGAGCCTGCCCACTCGTGCAACAGCCGAGGCTGCTGCGTGGCCCTACCATCATTATACCGCCATAATATAATTGGTAAATTTAAAATAGGTAAACTGATTTTCTCAGGAACGGGTGGACGTAGCTAGTTGAAATTTATACAGAGAGCCAAATTTGGACTTACCCATTCGTGCAACAGAGAAGACTGTTGCGTGGCCCTACCACAGTAACATTCATCATGTATTATGGAATTGTTATAAAATGTCTCTGAGAATCTCGCACTCGAATCTCTTTTCATAAATTAAATTTGACTACAGAACCGATTTCAGTCAAATTTTGCAGACTGTGTGTGGTTTAATAATGCTTGATAGATGGGATAGTTTATATCTCAATTTATAGTCGCAATTTTTTTATTGCAAATTATCTCTTATCCTTTAAACGAGTAATTCTTATATATATATATAATCGGAATCTCGGAATCGGCTCCAGGGATTTTCATGAAATTTAGTATGTGCGTAGATTCGGGGGCGAAAAATCGATCTAGCTAGGTTTTATTTTTAGAAAATGTCCTTTTATCCCTGTTTTCAGGGAATGAAAAATATCATTCGAATATGACAGTAAATTTCGCCGCAAAATAAAAGCTCGGTCGGTAATCGCGCGGCCCCAAAACAGACGGCCGTGGTTCGTATCACGATCTTTTACACACTTATTTTTTTACTTTTTTTTCTATACCAGATCATTTTCTTTATTTTTTATTTCCAAAATACATAATTTACAAAAAAAAACCGAGCAAAGCTTGGTCCTCCAGGTACTTTGTTAATTATACGACAAAGACTTATAATTATCTGTGAGTTCCATAGGATTCTAACAGATGGCGGTGTAAGGTGTAGATGTTAAAAGTCCAAATGTATGGACTTTGACCTTTTATCATCGGAAAATTATTAAAATCAAAATAAACACGATTGTCATAAAACAATGGCTTAATGATTAGCGATAACCCATTTATATAGGATCGCTGCAACTTACACGAGTACCAATGTTGTATTTTTAACGCGAAATATTAGGGATTAAATTTATTTTTGCACATCCTGTAAAATTAGACAATGATTTAGTTGCTGGTTTAAAATAAATAAAAGAACTTTTATATTCATCATCAACGCGATAAAAAGATATGTAAGTAATAAAATTTACATTGGTTAATATTCTACAAATATAATGTATAACATTGGAATAAACGGAAATAATAGAAGCAGCGGTGTCTCATTATTAATCTTAACCATAAACATCGTTACGCACCGTTTAATTTGGCTCCAGCGATCAAGAAAACCTACATAAAATTGAGCACGATTTTTTTTTGCAGTTTGTGTCGATTCTACATTAGCCGAAGGATCTTCGTTCCTACCTGGTGTCCCACGACACCACATCATTTTTTAATTAGTTTAATAAAACTACCTATTAACTTATTAAAAAAACCCAAGAATATCCGTCAAAATTTTCAAAAGATGATTATGAGTTAATTTTTTTTTCTAAAGAATTTTGAATTTCTATATTACTACTTCCTACAGAAGTACTGACCTATCGAGTACATCGAGTTTATTTTTTATAATTAGATAAAATATATAAATACCGTAGCGCCCCCTAGTGAGCTACTATCGCAACACCTATTTAAGAAACCTCACTAATCAAGTAGAAATCCATTACTGAAAACCGCATCAAGATCGGACTAGTAGTATAGTTTAGCACAAACGTTTACTTCAGCGCTCCCTGGTCATTTGTCACCATAACATCTATCTAAGAACATACAACAATTAAACTCGATGCCATCTCTGATGAAAACTGCAGCTTAAAGATCGCTGCAGTAATATATTTTATAGCTAATATAAAATATATCACTGCAGCGCCCTCTTGTGTTACTATCGTAACATATATTTAAGAAACCTCGCTTATTAACCAAACTGCTTTTCTTAAATTTTATAACAGTAGCCAAAATCTCGTCATTTAGCTTAACACTACTCAACTTTAGAATTACTGATCGAGGTCGATTATTATTCGAATCAACCTTTCTTATACTACTAATATTAATGTCGTTTTCGGCCAGAGGTGTTTTGCTTAATAGTACAGCAGTATTAGTTAAATTTTAATTTTTATGCTCTGGGATTGCATTGATTTCTATATATTCCAGTCTCATGCATTGTTCTATTAACGAAATTCTGTTTGTCAGATCATCATCAGTTTAACTTTGTTTCATTTATTAAAGTAATCCAATACATGTAAGAAGCCATCTTGGGGACCCGAGGTAATATTTACTTATAATATATGTACATATAACATATTGTTCAATGGAAGCTTAATGGTCGTATTTAAAATCTTGAATGGTATTTGACGAATTTCAACTAACTTTATTAAGAGGGTTCGCTCGAAATGAAACATTACTTCAAGAGAAAGTTTATTTGATTCTACATTGAATAGACACAGAAATGTAGTCTTACAAGTATACCTATAAATAGAATTGTTCTTTAAAATCAAGACACAACTGTTAAAACAAAGGTAACAAAAAAATATGGCACAAAATTTTAATACAAAGAAACGCAAAAGGAACTTTAAAAAGCATTTCTTATACGATACCATAATATCACATGGAACAATTAAAAACACATTAACATAATAAATAAAAATTTAACAAAATACTGGTCAGATAATAAATTAAAATATTGTTAAGGCCCATTTACACAATGCCATTTTCTTGTACATACAAGAGCAATAATTGAATGCAATAATTTGTTAGACCATTTGTTGTTTAGACCATGCAACTCATTTATTGCTTCAATTTAATTGTATACAACAGGCAAGAAACTTGCATCGTGTAAATGGGTCTTTACTCACGAATATCTGCTGTTTAGAATGAACAGATAACTTGCGCTTCACAAAATTAATTCAATGATTTACCCTTTTTTTTTTCTTTGGTCAATTTTGATTTAATGTTTTGTGATAAGATTTGAGATCATACTTCGGCAAATTAAAAACAAATTCATCGGAAAAGTTACGACAGTTAAGAGATAGTAAGAGATTTGGAAATTCCAATAATTTATGCGCACCCTAAAGGTGGTTCACTGCTAACATCGATTTCTTTTATAACTTTATATTCGCCACCTGAATGTGGGCGTTGGGAATAAGTGGAATATATCGGAATGTTTCATAATATCACTACATTTAAACGTTTAAATTAGCTTAAGGACGAATTTCATTCGATCACTCCCACTGGCTTACATCCTACATCGACTCATTCTTCCCTCACCCTGACCTCTCCAATCCCGACCAATGAAACGTCGCTCGAATTTTATATTCGCCAAGATAAAACACGTTTGTGCATAGTTGGCTTACGGGTACCCCACACTGACGAGTGTAAGCGATAAGGTACTCGCCTAACAACTAACAGATACACGTCCAATAAATGTATAGGAATGATATAATGGATAGAGTACTACGAAGAGGCTACATAGCCCGCGGGCGGCCGCCACGGGTCGGGGCTACGCGGCTACTGCTACGTGGCACCTACGCTGCTGCAGCTACGCGGCGCCTACGTTGCGTCAACCACGCGGTAACTACGCGGCTGCGGCTACGCGGCGCCTACGCGGCTGCGGCTACGCGGCGCCTACGCGACTGCGGCTACGCGGCACCTACGCGGCTGCGGCTACGCGTCGCCTACTCGGTAGCGTTGCGCTCGTGGCGCAGCAACTCGTCGAGGTTGTCGATCTCGATCTCGTGCACGTGCTTGCCCGCGAAGTGCACGAAGTCGTGGGGGGGCGCGTCGGTCGACCTCTTGCGGACGCGCATCTTGCCTGCGGAAATCGTAGCGCGCCAGTTTACATAAGCGATCCGATTTGAAAAAAATTCCCTTTCCGGTGGGCTGGTAGAAAATGCCTTATGGCATTAAGCCCGCCGTTTGTACCAGTTAGTACAATAAAGTGTGCTAATAGATAAATATATAATAGGTTAGCAACTAAGTGACGGCGGATTTCAGTTATAGATGTTTCTACTAAAAAACAGCATAAAAAATATTAGTGGGGCTTCCATACAACAGCCGTTTCTATTTATAGTGATACCATTCGATTTATAGTGGAACCCTTCGTGCGCGACTCGTACTTGACCGGATTATTATTATATCCGTAAATGTTACGATCTTCTGATGACGCTGTAAAATATCACCAACTCTCACCATCTCATTAACTCGGTTTTTGACCGAAGAGGATCAGTCATCAGATTTTCTACGAGCGTGGAATTTTCAAGTTATCAGAGAGATGGGAAAAAAAGATCGAAGAAAATAGAAAATACATTAAAGATTAAACATCTTACCAAGTAAAACAAAATCTCTTATTTCATTTAACAAATCTACAATTACTTACCAACCCAATACATTCCAAACAGAAAAATCAATAGATTCAGAGTATTATTATTGATATTCTTATTGCGTCACACTTTTAGAACATTATGACGGGATTTTTTCAGACAGGTTCTCGTCTGAATTATTCTAAATTCGTATGCTTGTCTAACTTTATATTATTCAAGAGTTTGACAAGAGTTTGACAAGACCCAATTAAAATTGAAAGCAATTAAAAAGTGAATATCAAATATTTGACTATTATTTGTGGTATGTAAACTTTGTCCTTAAATCTATTGCTCCATATTATAATAGATTTTTCTAATTAAGATTGCTGTTTTAATTTATAGCCTTTAGAAGAACAATGTGACCATAAATGATTATTAAAAATTTAACAGTATTTCGAGTAGGATACAAGAGTCGGTGGCAATACTTCAAACAAACGACAATCGAGCAGAGGTGGACAGGGGTAAGCAGGGGTGTACTGGAGCCGCCCAGGCGGTACAAGACAGACGGTGCATGGACACAGAACTTGCGTTTGTACTTGCTACAAAACGAAGAAGTAATGTATGGACAGGTGGGCCACGAAAGTCGACCTGATGCCATCTGCCAGCTTCGGAGGAGGGTGGGGGGGGGGGGGGGGGGGGGGTTATAAGTAACGGGAGTGTAACGACGGTCGAAATGATATCGTTTGCAAGTTTCAAAGAGGACGGGAGGAGACGGTAATGACGGTCGACTTGAAGTTTTCTGTCAAGCTCTGAAGTGGAAAGGAGAGTAATAATGTAGTGTTAGCGAGGGCAGATAACGACGGTCGACCTGAATTCGCTTTGGAGGGGAGGGGTGGAAAAGTAGTGTATTGACAGACCAAGGCGACGACGGCCGACCTAATGTCGTCTGCCAGCTCCGAGGGGGAGCTGAATTCGAGCGAAGTCCGCCTAATGTGTGATGAGCTGGGGAGCCGAGACCGCCGACCGAAGCGACCAGAAGGGCGGCAGCGTGCAGGCGACAGAAGGCGACAGAAGGCGACAGAAGGCGACAGAAGGCGACAGAAGGCGACAGAAGGCGACAGAAGGCGAGGGCGCTCGAGCTGAAGCCGTCCGCGGCTCACCGGCGTCGAGGCGGCGCAGGCGGTAGGTGGGGCGCGCGCGGCACGGCGCCAGCTGGGCGGGCGGGTCGCGCAGCGCCGGCAGCACGGCCCGCAGCGCGCTGCGCACGCGCGTCACGTCGAACTCGCCGCCGCGCTCGATGCTCAGCACGAACGCCCTGGGCAGCAGCACCGTCTCCGGGTCCAGCTCCATCGTGAAGCACCGCTCCCCGTCCACGATGTCTGCGGACCACACAACATTCAACATCGAAAGCCTCTCGAATCGATATATATCGATACATCGATATTTCCCCTTCGACATTGATATTTTTTTATATATCTATATATCGATATATTTCTTGACTATCGCGAACCGTTGAAATTAAAATAAACATTTCATTAAAAAATAAGAAATATACATTTGATCTATCGATAGTCATTTTTTGAATCTACCACTGTTTCGTAATGAGATTCCTCTAACGAAGAAGAAACATACGTAAGAAACTACGTAGGTATTCTCTTTTTTGTCAAGTTTTTTTTTTCTCAAACAAATACATTTTTATACAGTACATATTTATATTTTTACATATAGCTTAAGAGCGATCATCTCATTCCCAGGGGTTATTATCGTTAATGTATTCATTTATAATTATAATAACCCTTTTTAAAGAGTTTTTGTTTAATAAATTTCTTAAACCTATTAATAGATAGGCTTTGCACATTAACTGGGATTTTGTTGTAGAAGCGTATACACCGTCCCATGAACGAGTTACTGACTCTATGGAGTCTAGTAACTGGCGTTACAAGCTTGTGTTTGTTCCTAGTGTTTACATTATGTACATCAGTATTCTTATTAAAATTAACAATGTTTCTATGTACATACATTACATTTTCATATATGTATTGAGAGGCCAAGGTTAAAATATTTATTTTTATCATAAAATGTTAAATCAATGCGCGTCGGACATCATTTCCTATTTAATAATTTCCGATCTTTCGGTACAGACTCGCTTGTCAGCCGAAACATAAATAACTATTTTGGTGAACAACAAGTGATGCCGTGTGTACTGATGCTTTTCACGAATATTCTTTATCTTTTTATTTATTTTTTTATGTGAAAAAAATAAATAAAAAGAAAGCCTTTAAATAATGCGGGCGCCGGCTACCTCGCTCACCAGACGAAACGCAGAAGTGTAACACTTCCACCTTACTCCGTCTCACGCGGACGGGCCTGCCCGTTCGTGCAACAGCCGAGGCTGCTGCGTGGCCCCGCCACGGAGCCGTGGTGATTGATGATGAACGACGAACGATGAAATTCGATACCGTTGCGTTACCTAGAAACGGGCACTTACTGGTGAGGTTAACGGTGAAGTCGTGGATGAAGTTGACCTGGCGGCCGTTGTTCAGCACGGAGATCTTCTCAATCATCCCGTCGATGTCTATCTCCTCGCGGAGTACGTTTAGCAGCTCTTCGGCGGCGCCGTCCTCCAAGTCGCTCACCAGCTTCAGCTCCGGCTTGGGGGACCATTGCAGCGGGATCATGCGGATGTCCTGGTCCACCAGCGTGGCTTCCTCCACCTGAATGTTACGCCTTCAGCTTATTCTACGCAGACGTAGTCGCGGGCAGCAGCTAGTTATAAACCTATTCTCATTCCTACTGAATATGCATATAAAATTTCATCAAAATCGGTCAAGCATTCGTAGGAGTATAAACACTAAAACTGTGACACAAGAATTTTATGTATTAGATTATTATTATATTTATGCACATATTTATATATTGTGTATATATTTATGTGTATCTAGCAGGCCGGACAGACGACTTAAATCCTACAACTTATAAATAAAAAATAAAAATTGTGAATCTGAACCAGTCGCGAATCGACCTGAAAACACAAAAAATTAATTAAAACCGGTCCAGCCGTTTAGGAGCACTTAAATGACATACACGCACAGGACAAATATATACATATAATATGAAGATTTATTAATATATATTCATATTTTATCACTTCAGTGTACAACCTAACCCGATACTATTGTTTCTATTATCTCCTTTTTCTAGGTAGCCTGGAAGAAATCGCTTTTAAGCGATTAGGTAGCCTATTGTACAGATTTTTATTCTTTGTTGTTCTTTATACAATATCAGCTGTACACAATAAAGTTTATTTCATTCATTCCTTCGTTCGTTCGTTGACCTTGGCAGAAGGAAGATTCTTTTAATTTTACTTGATACCGTCAAACAACACTCGAAAATTTCAAAACACTTTTAATGTCGACGCGAGATTCTTTATTATTAGTCACACGAACAGAAACCGATTAAGTAACGCTTGAGAAAACCGTTAACTGTACAAATACATAATGAATAAAGATCCAAGAAGAGAACAATGGAAAATTTTCCGTTATACTCACTGTGATCTTAGTTGTGATACATACTGACCAAACATCCCGCTCGGGACACAACAAATCAATAGGTAATCAGTTATGACTATTAATAATACATAATTATATTATGCAATGATGAAAACTTTAAAAATTCGTTGTAAAGGCCCGCTGCTTTTCTTTCGCCGCTTCTTCTCATGTCAGTGGCTATTTTTCTGAACCGGTAGTAGTGTTTTTTGACAATCATTACGTAAATGTAATATTGAATAACGATATTTGAATTTGAAAACAGAGTTTTTTGATAAACGTATTCGTTACATAGAGATATATTTTGCAACTAGCTGCTGCCCGCGACTACGTCTGCGTAGAATAGTCTTAAAGCGTAACATTCAGACAGAAAGACAGAGATACTACACACACATAAAACATGTATATAAATTATAGCCTATGTATTATTGATGTATAAAGTATATTATTGTAGTTTCGTTAAAATCCATTCAGTAGTATTTGCGTAAAAGAGTAACAAAAACAAACATTCATCCATACATAGACCAGGGTCGATAATTTTTAAAACCAAAAAAAATAATAGTAGGATGAAACCCATTAGAAAAGGAGGGGAATATTATAAAAATGAAAGGAAAAATAATTTACGGGCGATCTGAGGTCGGGAAGGGGATGGGGGTGAGTTTTTAAGGGTAAAAAATGGTTTTTCTCGATTTCCGGCAAAACTAAAAGTCGTATCGAAAAAAGTCAAATGGCAAAGTTGTAGGTAATAAAAAGATCTAAAACTTTTGTATTTACACTTTTTTCACATAACCTCAGATGGTTTCTGTTCGTTGAAATCTCTACTTTCCGATGGTGAAAAAAAATATATGTTACTACAGTAAATCTTCTCAGAAAATGCAAAAAACTTGAATTCGAAAATTTTTTTTTAATTATTATAAATAATTTTGAGCTATTTATTAAAATTTACACTTTAATTACTCGAAAAACGTTAGATTACATGTGACATTGATAACAAAAAAAATTGCAAATAAAAATATACTACTATAATTAACAAACAAATAAGTTAATAAAATTAATATTTAATGAGACATCTACAATATTTGGAGAAAGTTGTCGAATCTTCTTTAAATTATATGCGTAAATGCCTATTTATAACTATTTAAAGATAAATTATATATACCTGAGTAGATATACCTGAGTGACCTACGAAAAATTGTAGCCCATCAAAAGGTATTTCGTGGAGAAGTGGGGAAGGGGCTAGGCGGGTCTGGGTCTTACTACATACATACCTACTATTATATACTATATATTTCGTAGCAGCTGTTACAACCGTTAGCCTAACCAGTATTCGAAATACAGTACAGTATACAACATCGTTTATAAAAATACACGTGCACGCTGAGTTTCTTGAAGATAATTGTGACAATTTTACTTAAAAAAACAAAAAACTTTTCGAATCTGCATAGGAAGGTAAATACTATCTCTATTTTTATCTGTATCAATCAACTCAAACATAAAAATCGTAATATTTTCTTTAAAAATAGTATGCTTAACGTAACATAACCTAAAGATTGAAATTAAATGATATTTTAGTACAAGATAAAAAAATAAATTTCTGAGTAGTAACATATATTTTTTTTTTCACCATCAGAAAGTAGAGATTTCAACGAACAGAAACTATACCAACTTTTTAAAAAAAGCTGATATTTTGACGGGTGAATTTTCGATTGAAAATTAGGGTGTTTTTTTTATATTAATTCAAAATAAGGTGAAAAAATAAATATTTTTAATCAAATAAATTACAGCGTATTTGGGACATAAAAAGGTAAGTTTTCACCAAATTTCGTTAAAAAAAAAATTTTTTTGTAAAAGATAAAAATAAAAAACCAAAAACTTGGTTTTTTGGATTTTTCACATAAATTTTGAGGTTATGTGAAAAAAGTGTTAATACAAAAGTTTTAGATCTTTTTATTACCTACAACTTTGCCATTTGACTTTTTTCGATACGACTTTTAGCTTTGCCGGAAATCGAGAAAAACCATTTTTTACCCTTAAAAACTCACCCCCATCCCCTTCCCGACCTCAGATCGCCCGTAAATTATTTTTCCTTTCATTTTTATAATATTTCCCTCCTTTTCTAATGGGTTTTATCCTACTATTATTTTTTTTCACTTTTTATTATTTTTCAAGGCTTCTACCCTGGTCTAACATGCAAACTTTCGCCTTTATAATATTAGTAAGGAAAGGATAAGCTCTTACGAGCAGTCCTAGGTGATTTCCAAAATTAGTATAATCGAGGAATTCGTCATATTTAGGCTCGTTATATAGACGTTAGCGTTACTCTTTAATTATTTTCAGAATGTGATTGTTATGCAACAACGCCACGAGGTGCGACGACAAAGCGCAATGAGAAAATGATAGAAGTACAGATATTGGACTTTGATCAGACTCCAACTATCAAATACAAACACGCGGACTGATTTACCGCACAACATTGTAATATTAGTCGTAATTGGTGACTGCAGGGGAAGGTGAATTAAGAAATATTGTATAATAAATGCGTTATTCCGCGTCATATGCGTGTTAATTGCTGCTTCACGTCGTAACTGTTGTAGGGATTTTAATGAAATTTAGAAAGGTGATCGTCTGTTAGCTGATTAACACATAGGTGTTATAGTGTAGTAGTATTGTGACTATAAATAAGTGGGTGTAATGTTCCTATGTTGAATAAAGATAGTTGAATCTTGTTACTACTATTCATCCCGTAAAAATGTTCAACGTAAATTCATGTGAAATAACGTTAACTAAGTATGAAGGTAAAAATGTAATTTATTTAAAGGTATTTTTTAGTTGTTATAGTCGACTTTGTTACCGAGTGAAGAATAAATCAGGGTATAGCTAAACGAGTTGCGAATATTGTCTCTTAAGTGGGAGAGGGGACGTTCAAATACAGGATCAAGGTCTTCGTCTGGATCCCACGAGGCAATATGTTGCATCCTTGTCTTTTACACTCACGGTGATAGCGACAAACTATGCAAGTAAACTGAAGTGGTAACAGAGTTATGTAAATGGTTCTTATGTATCATATTGTTTTTTTTTTTTTTAAATTGCCCCATTGAGTGATTAGTAATGATCACATTATCCTGTGTTGTAAGGAGGTTTTACATACACAAATTTCACGCGGACAAACGCACAGATCCGCAACAATGTGGTACCACACCGGAGAACTATTTGTGGATCGCATAAATAGTTGTCAAGTGTGGGGATCGAATGCTCGACCCCCGGCGCCGGAGCCAATACCGCGGCAACTGCGCAACAGAGTCATTTAAACAGTAATTGAACCATTCGTTACAAATATTCGTCGTAAGGTCTAATTTGGCAAAATATATGCACTTACATAACTGAGGAGCGTCGGAACAAAAACCGACATATCAAATATAATATTTGTTCGGGAAATTAAAAAATAACATGACTTTTCATTTCCAATTTAGAGATGAACCAAGTTTAATTGTTTATAGGTTTTGGTAACACTGTTTTGATATCCAAATCACAGATTTACGTTTCCAGTATATGATGAGAAAATTAAAAGACCAAAATGGATTTATCGGTTTTTAATCGGACTGACGGATATGTTCTTGCACATCCTATTTTTTTAGATGTATTCTTTTTTTTAATGCGAATAGTTGCCAAGCGAGCAGGCGGTTCATCTGATGTTAAGCGAATACCGCCGCCCATAGACATCTGCTACACCCGAAAGTTACAGATGCGTTGACAACCTTTTGAAAATTGGGCTCCGGCCATCTCACTCACCAGACGAAAAGCGACAATATTATACTTCCACTTTACGCCCTGCCACCGTAAAATCTCGTCTAATTTCATATCTCGCATTCCTTCTAGTTTTTTACAAAATGTTTGACATAATATACATACATACATTATCTATACATTTATACATTTTCAAAAATTATGTATTTCTGTTGCCGCTAAAACCACAAATACTAAAAAACAGAATTAAAAAATATTTAAGTGCGGCTCCCGTAAACAACAGACATGATTTGTTTGCAGTTTTATAGCGACGGAACCCTTCGTGAGCGAGTCCAACTTACACTACAAAAATTTTTCAATATACTCGAGCAACCCGAGTTCAAATCCCGGTGCGGACTCCAATGATATGTGACAGACTGACATGACAGATTGACTGACAGACAGACGGAATCCTCATTAAAAACGAGCGCCCGGGCAGTTAGCTATCACGGCTTTAACATAACAATATCTAAGAAAATTAATAAAAAATAACACTCGATTTCATAAGCATCAACCATCGGTTTTTTTTTTTCATAAACGTGACAAAGATCGAACTCCACATTGTTTATAAACTTTCTCTCTTTCTTTTATTGTAAATAATTTAGTTAAGTTTCTCATGTAAGTGAACTATACAATGTTCTTTTGGGAAATAAATTCTTTAAACCGAAGTATTAGGGTACTTAATTACTACATAATCTTTAGGTACCATAAAAACACCTTTTAAGGTTCCGTAATCAAAGGGTAAAACGGGACCCTATTACTAAGACTCCGCTGTCTGTCTTTCTGTCAGCAGGCTGTATCTCATGAACCGTGATAGTTGGACATTTGAAATTTTCAAAGATGATGTATATCTGTTGCCACTATAACAACAAATACTAAAAAACAGAAATAAAAAAAAATTTAAGTGCGGCTCCCGTAAACAACAGACATGATTTGTTTGCAGTTTTATAGCGACGGAACCCTTCGTGAGCGAGTCCAACTTACACTACAAAAATTTTTCAATATACTCGAGCAACCCGAGTTCAAATCCCGGTGCGGACTCCAATGATATGTGACAGACTGACATAAAGACAGATTGACTGACAGACAGACGGAATCCTCATTAAAAACGAGCGCCCGGGCAGTTAGCTATCACGGCTTTAACATAACAATATCTAAGACAATTAATAAAAAATAACACTCGATTTCATAAGCATCAACCATCGGTTTCTTTTCATAACGTGACAAAGATCGAACTCCACATTGTTTATAACTTTTCTCTCTTTCTTTTATTGTAAATAATTTAGTTAAGTTTCTCATGTAAGTGAACTATACAATGTTCTTTTGGGAAATAAATTCTTTAAACCGAAGTATTAGGGTACTTAATTACTACATAATCTTTAGGTACCATAAAAACACCTTTTAAGGTTCCGTAATCAAAGGGTAAAACGGGACCCTATTACTAAGACTCCGCTGTCTGTCTTTCTGTCAGCAGGCTGTATCTCATGAACCGTGATAGTTGGACAGTTGAAATTTTCACAGATGATGTATATCTGTTGCCACTATAACAACAAATACTAAAAAACAGAATAAAAAAAAATTTAAGTGGCGCTAAGATACAATAGACATGATTTTTTCCCGTTTTTATAGATAATGATACGGAACCCTTTGTTTAAACTTTCCGATGTATAACAAACTAGCTGCCGCACCTTTATGACCTATGCGGTAATTTTTCCTGTGGTAGGACCACGCAACGGTGTCCGCTGTTGCACGAATGGGCAGCTCCGTCCGGGTTAGTGCCACGACCTCACAGAAGACCGGCGTAAAGTAGAAGTGTTACACTTCTGCGTTTCGTCTGGTGAGTGAGGTAGCCGGGGCGCACATTATCCAACAACCCTACGGGTGTTGCAAACGTCCATGGGCGGCGGTAATCAGTTTTTCACATTAAAAAAAAAAGAACTCACCTTGATCGGGACGGCGCAGTAGCCTTGGTAGCGGGGGAAGCTCGCCGCCCTCGGCCACAAGCGGAACACAACCACGATCAGGGACATCAAGAAGAAGAGCACCAGCGATATGTTGATGAAGTGGAACACCATGTTCACAAAGCGATGGATCGGCGACCGCCGACGCCCCTCGGGCTGTGCCGCCCCGGACGGCGGGATGGCGATCTGGGTCTGCGGATAACATAGTTGTGTGTATCCCACCGTTAAGGGATCCCACTAGTGGACTGCGCAGAATAAGTGAACCTTTTATCGGACAATGTTTTTACAACAAAATCCCAGAAAAAGTTGAAAATGCATCAATAGGTAACTTTAAAAAAAGTAGCAAATGAATGTTTGTGTGTAAAGGCTATTATAATATTAATGATTATTCAAATGATAACACACTCTGGTAATGAATTTATCGCTCCAGGCTCTTTCAATCAGAGTTCTTATATTGTATTTGTAATGGATTCATGTCAACTGTTTATTTAAAAAAATATTAAGTCTTTGTGGATTCCATTGCCATTATTAGCTGGAAGGTAAGAGAATACAGCAGCAGATGGTAAAACAAAATTATTAAAAGCAAAAATGAAAGTAACGGCCTATATAATGACCCCATTGACATAGTGAGTAGTGTACCTGCCTCCTATACCAGAGGTTGTGTTCGATCCCCAATACTGGTAAAATATTGTGTGATAAAGATAGCATTTTTCCAGTACCCAAATTTATATATGTATAATATGTATTTATTTACAAAAGAAAAGTATGTTTAAGTATGTGTATCAGTTATCTCGTACCCATAGTACAAGTGTTACTTTGCTTTGGGACAAGAGAAGGTTGTGAAATAATGTGCTTAGAAAAATTTTTAAAATAAATTACAAATGTAATTAAAATTATGTAATATAATTATTTCTTTCTTCTTGGCAAAGCCCTAATTTGTATTGAGCAAAATTGTCCGAGAAGCATCTCCACTGGGTATTGGCAAACTTATTATATCTTCAGAGTATTTTTTGTTACACAGGTTTACTCATTGTTTTCTTTCACTGATTAAAATGTAATAAAGCAGAACTTAACATTTCAATCAACAAAGTTATAGGTATCCACTTTAGTATTTGAACCTTGTATACTAGATTAAAAGCAAGCACCAAAAATGTATATCTTTGCCGATGTATTATTAATACACAGCAATCGATAGATATTTTGTAACTACACTAGGTTAATGGACACTTGTTACACTGAATTTTGAATATATGCATTGTAAAAATACATTTTATTTTTTAAGTGCAAATAATGAAATGTCACATATTCTATACAAAACTATGCATTTGTGATAACACCCATTAGGCATATTTCAATAAAACTGTTTAATATTATTTCAAATTTAATAAACTATTATAATTTTTCTGATTCAGATAATCAAGTTGGTAATAACAATGTAAAATTAATCATAAATTTATGATACATAATATCCCCCCAATATAACTCATATTATTTATTACTACTCATAGTATTCTCCAGTGATATTTTGCTCTGATTGCTATTATGCCTTTTGTTATACTAAAAACTCTCTCATATAAGTTCCTGTGTCACAAAAAATTTGAATAAATGAAAGAGACCTCCGTTCTTCATCTAACCTCAAGATTTCTATTCCTCCACAAAATACTAGGTTCTTCGGTGACTCTTTCACCGTTCAGGCTGCACTACTTTGGAACTCCTTGCCTGAAGACATACATAGTACCCCTTGCAAGACCTCATTCAAACGCAAGGTCCGAGAACTTTACTTAACATCTCAATGTTAAATTTCATCATTATTTCAATATCGTTCATGTTTGTATATGTTAATATTTTTATATATTATATGTATGTGTATATTTCTATATATATATATATATATATATATATATATATATATATATATATATATATATACATATATATATATATATATATATATTTATTAATATGTATGTAAGTATCAAAATTTATTTAAGCGTGTGTATATTCCATACATTGTATATTTCATTCACATTAGTAATGAACTTTTTTTTTTATTGCACCTACCACAATTTATCTCCACGCCCCGGGTTGAGAGAGAATGCCTAAAGGCATTAAGTTTGCCCTTTGTAATCCTTGATTAAGGTAATTGCAATAAAGTATAAATAAAATAAATGAATAAGAAAGCTTCAGATATTCTACATTTAATGTCTATTATATATGAATGATATAATGTATATTATATATGATGAATTAAAAACAAATTTAAATAAATTCTCTTCTAATTCTTTGTCCTGTGGTACAAGTAGGCGGAGCAGAAAATCTTTACTACAACTCGCGGCAGACCCGCGAATCGAAATTGCGCCGAAAGAAGGCATTGCTGATAGCTGTACATGATCAAGAAATCTTAGTTAAGTTAATTAATTAATAAAGGAGGAGGTCCAGAAACATTATTTAGGTCAGTGGGACACTACTGGGTATGATTGATCGATAATGATATTACTCTAGCGGCCCGGAACAAATATATTTGATACGATTTTTTTTAAACATTTACAATTGCAAGTTTTGATTCTCAAGTGCTCTTATTTATTTATTTTTTTTATACAATTAAGCACAATTTGCTAAGGCGGGTCCCGTAGGAGGGTTTTACGCACTATTAAAATACTTACCTCAGGGCATGAAGATTCTGCCACTAATGGTATTTTTGTGATTTCGGTTTTATTTTCAAATAGACTAGGCTTCGCAAACACCGTCATGATTGATTTTAAGAAATACACCAATTAAAATCTGACTTCAATTGAAATGTACTACACAGAGGAAATCAGATCGGAGACTGAAGCTGAAATATGGAGTTAGGACCAAACCAAACCCCTAATCGATTGAATTACATATAACTTCAGCTCAAAACCTAGGAATACGAGTAAATCAATGAACAGTGTGGCAGTATAAGTGTTAGAAAAAATAATAAAATGTATTAGTTATAAACATTCAATAAATAATTATTGTATTCAATTCAGTTATAATCTCTTATAAATAATAAGCTTGAAAACAATATATTTAGAAAACATTAAAAATACGCTTTCTTTATTTATATTAGAATATTATTACCAATAATAAAACCGAGAAATGTTTAGCTAAAACGGCCCGCAACAATGGCCCGAAACATGTGTGTCGCTACAAACAGCAAAATTTAGCATTATGTACATTTTAAAAGTACCAGTATTTCCTATGCATTAATTTGCTCTTTAACTAAATCTATTGAATCTTTCATGTACAATTAAACAAGCTAAGTTTAGTTTTAATAGTCTCGCTATTGTAGATAAAACAACATACAATCAGAAATTAAGTTCAATCAATTATTATCAACTGTGATAATTTCATGCAACAGTCTTCGGTGTTGTACAAATGGGCAAGTCCATCCGGAGAATTACCAAGGCCTTACAGAAAACCGACGTAAAGTGGTCCATGGGTGGCGGTTATCACTTCACATCAGGTCAACCACCAGCACGCTTGCCACCTTCTCACATAAAGAAAAATATGGTGATTTGTCAAAGCTATCGTGTACTAGATTGCTTTTATTACATTATACATATGCCGGCCTGGCGACAGACAGCTTTGTCGGAAGAGATCCGTGGCTAAAGGATTTATTAGGAAAGTTACTACTATTTACAATGATACTATTAATAATATATAATATATAATAGTACTATTAGGAAAGAGGACCAGAAGAATCAGGGGAAACACGTAGCTCATAGCTGGTGCAAAATATTGACACTGCCGACGACGATGCTAACACCGACGATGATGGCGCCGTTTATTCCGCTGCATCTCCGCAACACATGTTAACGAAAGATGGACAATTCGACCGACAATGGGACCTTCAAGGGACCTCTAATCGAGCTTGGAGTCTCGACTTAGACCATCTTTTCGCACTTTTTCTATATGTTTTAATGTTCAATCTTAAGTGCAAAGATTAGCACTATAAACAATTTAAATTTCTAGACCATCATTCATACCAACCAATTGGAACCAATCCAAGAGTTTAGAGTAGTATGTTAATAAATAAAACAAATTATGTTTGTTAGTGCGATTTACTCACAAGACGTTGACCGGATGGGTAACGAAAAATTAAAACACGGAAACAATTAACTTACAATAACAATTAACCAACGATAATAATTAATCATATACGAGAGTGAACACAAGATTTTTAAAAATATTTAAAAGGAGCAAACAAAATAATTTAAGGAAATAAAAGAATTCGTAATTAATTACGATATAATAAAAAAATCCACCAAGCGAGGCTGCGCGAGGCCCTCACTTATTGTAGAGTGTGCTGAGCAATGTGTGTTTGTCAATGAAGGAAATATGAATAATTGCGTGCCTCCCATGGCATGCAATTGTTAATATTTCATTCAAATGTTTTTATTTAATTCTCTCGCAGGCGCTTAGGACGCAATAATAGATAATTAATATAATATAGTTTATTTATTTATCGCACGCGTTAGTTCATCATCTTTTACCACACATTTTTCCTAAGTCATGTCTCATTTACATTCATATGTCATGTCGTATAAACGGTTTGCGGGGATGGGGGATGGATTCTGAAAGCTATAACCAACGGACTTGAAAGGGCATTGATTGGTTCTTGTATTTTTATTTTTAGGTCGCAATGCAATTCGCTGCTAATACAGAATTATTAAAAGCAATAACTACTTTTTCGTATGTTAAAGTTTATATTTACAAATGCTTTCCAGGTTTTAACAAAATTAGCACAGCGTCATGTAAATATTTCTCATAATTTTAAGATGCAAAGGTATTGAAAAATTTATAAACGAAAACCATGTATTTATCAAAATTTATAATAGAGCGAATTTAAGATCTGCGGAAGTGTTTTTGTTTTTGCCTAATTTATACATAATCATTATTCATTAATGTGATAAAAACAGTAGGTGCCATTAACCATCGACAATTAAATTTTTCGAACTAAGAATTTGGTGCCAACCTAGGCTACCTGTGGAGAAAATTGTAAATTGTCTATGTTTTATAAAAAGTAAAGAAAAGAGAATTCAAGGTGGAAAGAAACGGACGTTTTTGTGTTGTAGAATATTCTACGAAGAGGTTAATGAATCAGCAACGCTTATAGTGCTATTAAAACATGTCCGATTAATTTGCGACGACTTTATTTTAAGTTGATTCTTTGTTTAATTGTGTGTTACGTATAAACGTTAGTTCATCATACTTACGACCACAATAAAATGGCGACTGACCCAATGAAAAACCGCATGCATGTCTTCAAGAATACAGGCAAAGATGTTGATGTAAGTAGACAAATCGCACATCTTTAAATTTAATTTGGTATTTTTAACAATTTTTTGAAATCTGGTTACTGAAACGTTACGTTCGCTTGTATTTTAGGAAATGCGCAGGCGAAGGAACGAAGTCACAGTGGAGTTGAGGAAAAACAAAAGAGAAGAAACTTTGCAGAAACGTCGTAACGTGCCCATCAGTGACTCGACAGATGAGGATGAAATTGAGAGGACGCCAGACATCCAAGAGCTAGTGATCAACGCTAAAGCAGAAGACCCCGATATACAACTAGCTGCTGTACAACAATGTAGAAAACTATTGTCATCAGATAAAAATCCCCCTATTGATGACCTGATCGATGCTGGCATTCTACCCATCTTAGTTCAGTGCCTCTCTAGAGCTGATAACCCAACTCTACAATTCGAAGCCGCCTGGGCTCTGACAAACATAGCCTCGGGAACTTCGGCACAGACTAATAAAGTGGTTCACGCTGGTGCTGTACCCTTATTCTTGCAGCTGCTCGTATCGCCACATGAAAATGTCTGTGAGCAGGCAGTTTGGGCTTTAGGTAACATTATTGGAGATGGTCCAATGCTCAGAGACTTAGTGGTAGAGCTTGGTGTTGTTCAGCCATTATTGAACTTCATCAAACCCAATATCCCCATCACATTTTTACGTAATGTTACATGGGTTATTGTGAACCTGTGCAGGAGTAAGGACCCACCACCACCTGTTAAGACTATCCAAGAGATACTTCCAGCCCTCAATGTTCTTATCACACATTCAGATGTTAATGTAAGTACCCCCTGTATAGCTTATTTTAATATTAAGATAGTTATAATAGTAATAACCATAACAAAATAACAGGCTAGAAAAGAATCTCTACTGGATTAAGGTACTTCTGTACAGAGGCAAAATATGACTTCACAACAATAAAAAATAATTTCTCAAGTTACTTGGTTTTGTAAGATTTTAGTTCAGTGTCTTTGTAATAATTGTTTTAAAATTTTAACTTTTTACATTATGTTGAAAAAACTAAACATCTTGATACATGTTTATTTGGTACAAGAATGATAGTCAATATCACAGAGATTAGATAAGATTTACTCTATCACTAAGAAATACAACAAAGTAATGAAATGGTGTGTCAAAACAAAGAAATATTAACTTTTTTAAATATTATTTTTAAAATAAATTGCTCTTGACATCTGTAATGTTTCAAAATATTCCATAAATTGCAGAAAATATAGTGTAGGGCTTATTTGTAAGTTAGAATGTGGTCGTCTTGATAAAATTTTATACATTCACATTCTGTTTTTGCATAATAACTGATTGCTTTACAGATCTTAGTGGACACAGTGTGGGCAATTAGTTATCTAACAGATGGAGGCAATGAACAGATCCAAATGGTGATTGAGTCTGGTATTGTTCCCAAATTGATCCCGTTGCTTTCACATAAAGAGATGAAAGCACAGACTGCTGCACTCAGGGCTGTTGGTAACATTGTGACTGGAACGGATGAACAAACGCAGGTTGTGCTTAACTGTGATGCCTTATCGCACTTCCCTGCATTACTGTCTCATTCGGTAAGTCAGAATTTGTAATAAATTAATGCAATTTTTTTTACTTTACATTGAATATTTTATTTAATTTGTGAAATAATAGAATTATATCAAAGTATGGACAACAATTTTAGTAATATTGTTAAAATAACTTACATGCTTTATTGGATTGTAGATTTTCCATTGTTTAATGAAATAGGTTTATAGGAAGGGTTTTTTTCCCTTTGAAAACATAAAAATCATTGTTTTCATTAATATTTGCAGAAAGAGAAGATTTGCAAGGAGGCAGTATGGTTCCTCTCAAACGTGACAGCTGGTAACAAGCAGCAAGTGCAAGCAGTAATTGATGCCGGTTTGCTGCCAAAGATTGTGGAAAACCTCAGCAAGGGCGAGTTCCAGACGCAGAAGGAAGCTGCGTGGGCTGTGTCAAACCTGAGCATAAGCGGAACTAAGGCGCAAGTGGCTGCTCTCATTAACTGCGGCGTCATACCTCCCTTATGTAACTTACTTAGCTGCAAAGATACGCAAGTTATAAGTGTAAGTAACAATTTCCCTTTAAATGTTAAGATAATCAAGCCCTGCAATAAATGTGCCAAACTATGTGAATGCACTAGAAAAATAGACAAACCCAAATCTTGATGATACAGATTCTTTGCAAATGATACATTGAGTGAAAAAATTAAAAGAAATCAAATGTTTACACATCCATTTATATTTGAATTATTTTCTTTAGATACAGAATCTTGGACAGTTTAGACCATTTAGTAGATTATGTTTTATCTACTAAATGGTCCCAAAATGCTGACCCGGTGTAAGCTTGAAACAATTTTGGCTTTTCTAACATAATCATGCAGAGAGCATTATAAAAATTTAGATAGCTACATCTCTCATTCAAATTATTGATGTAAAATAATATGTAAAATTGTTTGTGTGTTGTAAAGGATAAATCAAGCATTGCTTAAAATGCGAAAGAAGAAAATAAAAAATTTTAATATTATTTAATATGCTGAGATTATTGTTAGTGTAGCAATCAGCTTAGCTTAGTGGCTAAAAAACGTGTGGGCGTGATTCTGGAAGCAGTGAGGTCGATTCCCACAGTGGCAAAAAAACTTTTCGCCCATTTTTTATTACTATAACACTACTAATATAATAATTATCATCTAACATAATCAATGTCTATAGTATTAATGTATTTTAAACAAAATAAAAATATTATATTAATATTATTACGTACTTTCATGAACACTTCACTTTGATAAATTTTTGGGGCACCATTGTGCCATCAAAATAGGAATGCTAAAAAGTATTTGAAACATATGGAATTAAACTTTGAAATACATTATGATACTCCATTAAATAAGTTTGTGTTTTACGGTAAGATGCTATTAGACATTTTTTTGTGCTACCTAGAGTTGGTAATGTATCATATAATGTCAATGTTGTAATGAATGTTGTCTAAAGTCGACACAAGTATGCATATATTAGATGGCCCTACCACAGTTGACATGATGACTAATAAAATCCTGATCAAATTACAGGTAGTGCTGGACGGTCTGAGCAATATGCTGAAGATGTCTGGCGAGAATGTTGAGCAGGTGGCCAACATGATCGAGGAGTGTGGCGGCATTGACAAAATTGAGCAGTTACAGGGTCACGAGAAGATGGAGATATACAAGATGGCCTATGATATCATTGAGCAATACTTCGCTGGGGAGGTGCGTACTGCATATGTTTTGAACTTGGGACTAGCACATGAAAATCAATCATTATACTATGTAAATTAACATTTCCTAAAAAATTTAAAGTATTGTGTGTGTGTGTGTGTGTGTGGGGTTGCATAAGGTGAACTGGAAGGAATCAAATTGAGATGAAAAACCATTTTATTGTGAAGTTGTAAAAGAGGAATTAAAAGTCTAATTAAGCGTTGTTTGGCATTTTTCTGGATGTTTGTAACAAAGATGACATTTTTAAATTAGTATATATTATGGTATTGTTGAATAAGGACAAGCATCTAGTTATATAAGTTATTTAAAGCTATATATTCATTAACAGCTCTGTGATAATTATACTGTTCATCTGTTCATTGCAGTAATGGCTTCCTTTAAATAGGTTAACATGTAAGCTGTAGATAGTCACTCATACAATTCATATTGTCATGATTATCAACCTGGTCAGTTTGTTGCAATTTCAACAATAAATATAACTATGATTGATGTTGCAGAGATGAAAATGCTATTTCTGCTATTTGATAGTAATCAAGTAGCAGAAATAGCATTTTCCTTTTTTGATATTTGGTTTCTCTGACGATCTTGTATCTTGTATTAACTGATGTTTTTACTTTCAGTCCCGAGACTATTAAAGCTTCATCTGAAACAGAACCGGTGGGCTAGAACCCACGGGTTTGGGCCCTCCGCCGTGGGTAGGGTTCTCTGACGATTCTTGTCGTCAAAGCTACCATGCCCATGCGTGGCCCGACACTATCCTGTGTTGCAACAGCAGCGGATGGTGCTGTCAATGACTATTGAGTAATATCGGTGGATGGATTCGCAGGAGGAGGACGCTTCGCTGGCGCCCGCCGCGGCCGAGGCCGGCTTCCAGTTCGAGCCGGCGGGCGGCGCGCCGCAGGCCGGCTTCCGCTTCTGAGGGGCGCCTACGCCCCCTACGCCCCCTACGCCCCCTACGCCCCCCGCCCCGGCTAGTCTAGCAATCGGACCGCTCCGAAGCTTCTTTCATATTATACAACATAACATAGTATTTATGTTTCGGATTTTTTTAACCTTCGTCTGCCCCCTCTATCCCCCGTCCCCACGCCCCTTATCCCCTCCCGCTCCCTACGCTCTCCCACCACCATCGACCATGACGGGGATCGGGAACATCGTACGTTTGTGGAGTTTCGTTCCGACGCGAACCCAATTGTAACTATATTATAATAATAAATAAAATCTGTCCAATACGTAATGGCGTTTTATTCGCGTTCCGCGTGTTCGACTTAGCGCATCTTGTAATATATTAACGGAAGGACGTCACAGCTGCTTTCTTCGGTTCCGAAACGCTTCTTTGTTCGCTCGCTCAATTGCTCCTTCTGGTGGAAAATAAAAATATTTTTATAACAAGAATTTTTTCATTAAACATCCTTATGAATGTACTACTGTACTCGTAATTTTGATGCTATTTGTGAGAATCAACAATGGCCGTATTTTTTATGTGAGAAGATGGCAAACGAGCTGGCGGTTCACCTGATATTAAGTGATACTCGCCGCCCTATTATATTTGCAACAAATTGGTTGCAAATCCACCAGCACCAATTGCCACCTACTAATAAGGCGGGCCTCACTCACCAGACGAAACGCTGAAGTATAACTTCTACTTCAGGCCGATCTTCTGTGAGGTTGTGATACCCGCACGGACTTGCCCATTCGTGCAACAGAGAAGACTTGCGTGGGAGTTGTAGAGTGTGGGAGTGGGAGTGAGAGTTAACGGTGGTAGGGCCACGCAGCAGCCTCGGCTGTTGCACGAATGGGCAGGCTCGTCCGGGTAAGTACCACGACCTCACAGAAGACCAGCGTAAAGTGGAAGTATAATACTTTCGCGTTTCGTCTGGTGAGTGAGGTGACCGGAGCCCAATTTTCAAAAGGTTGTCAACGCATCTGCAAACCCTCGGGTGTAGCAGATGTCTATGGGCGGCGGTATTCACTTAACATCAGGTGAACCGTCTGCTCGTTTGACAACTTTTCACATAAAAAAAAACAAAAAAAATCATGTTTGACACAAAATATTTGGAAAAATTCTAGATAAATGAAAGATTTCGACGTTCATGAAAGACTGATTTTGTAATAAAAATAACTTACGTTCCTCCTATGCTCGCAAGCATAGCACTTGAAATTGCCGTGAGCGGATCCAGTGAAATTGTCCTGCGATGAACGTGCGGTCAATTTGCTGTTCAACGATTTCACGTCGTAGAATTGGCCCACTTTTCGCTGAAAGCTGTGAACATTATACGATAATAAAGTATATCAATTTAACATGGCTATGCTAGATTTTATCAGGTTCGGTTAGAGAAGTGCTACAATGCTAAACTATAAGCCTAGCTATAGCCCTATATGTATACTCGCTTCCAGCGTAGGGTATATGTACCATCCACTGTTCCCGATAAATAATTGGTACCTATGGACAATATTGTTAATATCCAATACCGCTATAAAAGATTATCCTACAAGAGCGGGATCACTATATTTTTAGCTTCATCACACTCTGTTAGGTAAGGAAATATATTCGTTTTGTTTTATGGAACTAGGCAAACCGTACTCTGCTATTGTAGCTGTTAAAATGTCGGCGAACCGCCGCAATAAGGTCCCAAATGATCGTTAACGACGATAGAAAAGACGGCAGGCCCGAATTAGGGTCTTACTTCGGCAGTGGCTCCTGCCAATGGTTGTCGAGTCGGTTGAGCGCCATGACTGCGCCCAGACGCTGGAGCAGGCTGAAGTTGTCGCGCTGCACCTTGGCGGCACGCTCTAGCTCCCTTTGCAGCTTCTTCAGCTTGAGGGCGACGTGAGGCCGCTCCGCAGGGGCCCGGGCGTCAACGGCCGCCTGTGCCGACCGCACCTCCACACAATTCATTGAAGCGCTTTATAATACCGAATACCTGTTCAAATCGACTGTTACTGCCGTTTAAGCATGACGATTTGCTTTATAACACGGGACGGTATTCTGGTTAAATAATATTTATATCGATTAATAATAATATCGATATATTATATCGATTATTATTAATTTTACGGTGGTAGGGCCACGCAGCAGCCTTGGCTGTTGCACGAACGGGCAGGCCCGTCCGCATGAGTACCGCGACCTGGCAGGAGACGGCGTAAGGTGGAAGTATGACAAATACTTTCGCGTTTCGAATACGAATACATCGATTTTTAATAAATCGTTATTAATCCGGAATGCTATATTTTTAATGCATTATTCTGGCTTGTTTTCTAAATAGCATTATAAGTAAATACTACTACTACAATTATTTTTTTATGTAAAATTTTTATTTTTTTGTTCAATATTTATAACGAAAAAATTAAACCAATAGAATGTTGTACGTACTGTATGTAAGTACATTTCGATTCCGTGTTACAGCAAAAATATTTTTCAGCGCCAATTACTGTAGGTCTAGATTGAAATAACGACCTTGGCAAAATCCTCAAGTTATCCTCGATGGAGCCATTATACTAAAATTGGGATTGGAACCACGATCATAAATCAGATTAACAAATTGTGTTTAATACTTACATTAAGCACGTACGTACTAGGTACATCAAAAATAACCTTACTTACCATAGTTACCTAACTACATCAAAATACTTATATTTATCTTGTTTTGTTTCTAGATTGGTTACCTATATTGTTCGTTTAGACTTTAAATTTTTTGCTGGAGAGCACTTTTGCAACCGTATATTAAAAATACTATATTTAAAAAGTTTGCTATTTCATTGGCATAAACAATAACAAAAGGCAGTATTTAAAAAGCTATTAAAGGCGTTACGCTATTATTTGTCCTTTTCTTATTATAAATATACTTTTGATAAAAATAAACTTGCTTTCAGAAAAGCAAAGTAATGTTGGAAAGGAACAACATTTTAATCATTGTAGTAATAAATGGTTCCTTACTTTATTTCTGTGATCCTTAAATCGGCGGTCTTCCCACGGCTGTATGAGCAATTTGTCCCTGCGTGATAGCATTGTTTTCAAAACTATACAAAATTATTACAGAAAAGCGAAGAGTTAGATTGAAGTTAAGTTGAGTTCAGTGAGTTATTTAATCGATATATACAAATTGCTTAGAAACATATTGTGTTACTGTTATCGCCTTTTAATTATTTTCAAAACAATTGTGTTAACTTTTTCGGTTGAAAGTTATAAATATTTAAAACAATAATTTTAGTTTTCAAAATATTATTGGAACGGACTACCGCCTACTAATTAAAATTGAAAGGAAGTACGTTCCAAAGTGAAACCTAGTTACGTAATTCTATGTAATATTTTTAATTTAATGAAGTTTATAGATATATAACTTTATTGTAATTGAACAAAGTTCTTCCACCTTCAATGCATAATGGTTCGGCTATTGCAGTTGAACAGAAAAAACAATTCACCCACCGCTTGGTTCTCCGTTACTCTTAGATATGGCCTTGATCATCAAGGACATCGTCGCTACCAACTCTTCAAATTGTTCCAGAGCTGTCGGATCACAAACGGCCATAATTTTTGTTTTAAAATCACTTTGAACTTGAAGGATACTTACGTAATGGTTGATCAGGCAAACATGAACACCATACGGAGGTGTTCAACGTATGCTTGGACAAACGTAATGACACAGTGGATTGGAATATGCGGCTTGGCAAAGTATGACGTATGACAGGACGACAGGGCGATATAAAGAAAACACATGTGGCAAATTAATAAATAAATTATAATGTTAAATATTACACTGCACTTACAACGGTATCATATCATGCTCGTTACATCTGATAATATACACGAAAACGTACAAACACGTGGTTACAATACAAATAAAAAATATATATGTATATAGAATTTGAGCAATATAAAAATAAAAAAAAAACCGAAACACTAGTAACCTATTTGCTAACGTAACGCGCTTTCGTTATATTAGATAGATGAGTTTAAACGTTTTGGTAATGGGGTACTTTGGTACCATACAATTTCAAAATATATCGCGTATATAATTATGTATAACTTGCAAACTGTTGTCGCCGTATTTCATAGGAATGTAAGTCAGCGTTCCCTCTAGTTTTGGCAATGTTCAATATAAATACAATACGTAAAGCTATACCGTTAGACTGAACGTAGAATGTTGATCGTTATAAATGCTTTGCAAAACGTTATTAATTTTTTACATCAAAACTTCCGTCACAAATACGTCGCGTACAACACGAACCGTGAGTGTCCCTCGCGTGGCTTTGTGCAAATGTCGCTTTCCTATCGAGTGTCCAAACGTCCAATGGAATAATGACCCGTCAGCCATTAAACCTTCGCCGAGCGCCAAACTCCCAGTGCGACGCTCTAAAAAGAAACAAGACGGAGCTCCCACAACGTTGATCCTAAACGGCTTTACTTCACTAAATGTCACTAATAAACACTATGTTACGGTCGTGTTCGCATCGCATTTATTCTAATTAGACAATATCGAGTATAAAACGTATTAAATACATCGAAAAACCCGCGAGACCCACCGACCGAGTTAGCCGCTAGCTTCTGTTTATATCGATTCGTAACGGATCACCGAACGAACGGGGAGCCGAGGCGTGTATCGAAATTATCACATACAATATACGGTAGGGATTGCGGGGCGGGATTCCCCCAGCCATACATCGAGGGGAAATCCCCGGTGCGTACTGATGCGCAGCAGAACTACTCCTCGTGCTGTGTACCGTACAAACCCAAGGCAGGTGCAACGGGAGTGTCCGTAGAAAAATAAATTATCACTTCGCGTCTAACTAACGGCGTGCCACTAACTCGCGAAAGGCAGAACTTGAGACGGTTCGAGTGTTAGTTGAGAAATCGAGTGCGCTGCGCTCATCGACGGGCGCATCGAACATTATCTACACGTAAGACTAAGTTACCTTAAAAACAAAACAAAATAAAATACTGGAAACTTATGCGATTCGTGTTTATTTATATATTTATATCACTATCATTAAATCTAGCTGTTCGTTTGAAATACATTGAGTGGAACAACTCGAGAGCTGCCTAAGGTGGTTCTCACAACAATGCTCGATATATATAATCGACATGGAAAACACAAACACGCTGTATAACTAAAATTACACTGCTGTATACATCATATAGGATATGCTTACTCCGTTCGCGCATTTCAAGGGGGACTTGGGGGGGATGCGCTCCCTTAGAAAGCGCGAAGGGACGATAGAGTTGTGAAAAGCGAAGCATTTGTGATGCCGGCGTATTGACTAGCGACAGTCACTTCAGCGGAAACCGCCCACTAAGGCTCCCATACAAGGCGCCGCTCTATACAGGCTGCCAGCCAACCGAACTGACGATACCTTTCAAATACTCACACAACGTAACACGATACAATACGTGACTCGTAGTGATCATATCATACACAAAAGTGTGAAAAAACCAAAAACGGAACCAATCGTAAACACGTAAAAACATTTCCTTTGTAAATTGTGTGTTGAAAACGCTTACTCGTAAGTAAAACAAGGTAACAAAGGGCGAACTTAACGCCATTTGTTACCTTGTTTTACTTACGTGTATATATGTAGTAAAAGCTTATGGTAGGGAAGGGATGTAAAAATACTAATATTTTGTATATAAAAGGAAAATAAAATACGATATATGCACAATTATAAATATAGGGAATATAAGGAATATATAAAAACTAACATTTTAGATTGTACTAAAGCATAGATAAAAAAGCAATTAAATTTGGTTGGGACCGACAACCTGTGGTAAGTGGCGCCGCGCCGTGGCAGTTTGGGGTTGATTAATTTCGTTGTCCCCTAAAATAGCGGACCCACAATAGGACCCCAGGGTCCTCCCCGCCACGGCGTGGGTCCTTAGCTGGACGGCTTCAGCCGAGGCGACTTAACATTAAAACTTAACCAGCCCAACATCACAAAGTACGACGTGCGAAGCTCCCACGTCCACGCGGTCGATTAAACTATTTATAGACAGTAAGAAATCTATCTCCTCCTATTCCCTCTCCATTGCAATTACGCTACCGTGCCCGAAGGCTACTTACCATAATATGATATAGAAACGGCCCGCGCGCACCGGCCAAAGTTTCGGTTGTCGACGAAAACTCGACACGATATTGAAACTATGCAGCCCTAATAACTACAGGACGCCCTTAACTAACTTCGTCTATCTCGGATTATTACATACGGAAAAAAAAAACAAAATTCTCTCAAATTGCCATTAGGGCCACACAGTACAGTCATGTAATATATTTCACAAATGAACTATTGAATATTGTTATTCCTTTAAGCAGAAATATGTCTAAGACTAAAGTTCCCCCAGCATCCAACCAGTCCACAACTGATGTAACAGGTCTCCCGAGTCATCTCCGTCTTAGGATATGGTAGTGCAATTCATCAGAAAAGATACAAACAAATTTTTTGAAACTCATGTAAAAGGACGTACATATGAAGTAAGATTATACACAATTCATCGCAAAACGCATCACAAAACGGAGATATGGAAAAATATTTATAATATTACATCAAAGTATGAATAAACGGTTCAATTTTCTGCATTACAACATAGTATGAATCTTAGGCCTGCCGTTACAATTTTTGCAGAGGCTATCATCAGTGACGCGTCCGAAACCGTTAAGGTCGCACCTTACTGTGTGCAAAAAAATTCATATCAAAAGTCCACAAAGAAATCTATTTCCAACCAGACGGATGACAAACATTTTGTCTCCACTCTAAACGTAAGGCTTTCTGTATACTCTTCACTATATATCACAATTTACAAAACTGTCACATACAAAAAAGAAAGCTTGACCGGCCAAGAATCCCTTACACATTCTTATATTTAATAAACCAAGTCAATAATTAACTTATACTTCGCCAACTGTTTACAGAGCGTCACTTAGAAGTGACACCGCTTTAGCCATATACCTACAAGCGATACTGGTTACGCACGGGGAGGAATAGTGTAGAGGTCATTGGCATTTCAAAGAAACCTAAGTTTAGTCAGACTGAGACGAATTGAATCGGCATGGGCTAGGGATGTCGAAAGTGGAGAAATATATCGGCCTCGATACATCGAAGAGAAAATATCGATACCAACGTAGAGAGGAACGATCGATATATCGATATTTTCTCTCTAGGTCTCGTTCAAAAAAAGTAATGTCAAGTATTAAATATTTGACACGCACGGCCTCGTTTCGATGCGTTTTCATCGATAAGAAATTCGTCGACACTCGGACATCCCTACGGGGGCGGGGCTCAGCAGTGCAGCGGCGGGCGCGGCAGCGGGCGCACCAGGTAGAGCTTCTCGCCCTGCTTGTTGGTGTAGATGGGCGCGCGCTGGTAGTGCGCCACGAGCTGGTCGAGCGCGGGGAACTTGCGCTGCCCGATGCAGTACAGGCTGCCCTCCACGTGCACGCGGAAGTGCTTGTTGCGCCCCGGCGCCTTCAGCGACACGGAGTAGTCGCCCACCTGCAACGGCAACCGCGCCATCCATATACACGGGGACGGTGGTTATACTATGTAGTGAAGAACAATAAGTGAATCTACTCTCTCGGGACCAATACGCGAGTGAGCAATGAAGGAAGCAATGAATAATAATAATTATTGTCCAGCGCTAGCGGCACCGACGTTGGTCTCCGAGTCGCGGATGAGGAAGTCGCCGTCGTGGCCGTGCTGGTCGAGCAGCGCGTCGCAGTGGTGGCGCGTGATGGCGCCGTAGTACCAGGCGCGCCCCAGGGGCGCCCCGCCCCCGGCGCCGCCCCCACCGCTCCCCCCCGCGCCCGCGACGGCGCGGCCCCCCTCCGACGCCTCGCTGCAGAAGTGAAAAAATAATATATTTGAAAGATACATGAAATCCGCCAATCCCGGACGGGGCAGGCCGTTGGCAAGCCTGGTGGAGCGCTCACCAGTAGGGCTGCGCCAGGTAGTCGGCCAGCTCCTGCAGGTAGTTCTTGGGCACCAGGCCGAGCTGGCCGCGCGAGTCCCTGGCGCGGAACCACTCGGGGTCGGAGGGCGGACGCTCCACGATCTCCAGCCGGTCGCCCTTCTCGAACGACAGCTCCGCCTCGTTGTTCGACGTGAACGAGTACAGCGCCACCTGCACACTTATCGCTTATTGCCCGCCCTCTAAAGAAATCTATCAATCTGACATCTCAATTGAAAAGCTCATAGGGAATTTTTTATATAACTTTACAATTACTACTGTAAACTCCAATCATGTAAGTATGTACAAAATATGTGTTATTTTTTTTATTGCAGACAAAAATTAGTAATGATAACTATTTCTATAAACTCCACTAATATATAGTCAATCAATTTTATTTGGTAGATATGAAAAAAAGCCAGTACAGCCCGTTTCAATATTCTATCTACAGTGTTTTTGATATTTAGCGTTGATATTTAGTGTTATAGCGGCAACAGAAATACAACATCTGTGAGAGTTTCTCCTGTCTTACTATCACAGTTCATGAGATACAGCTTGGTGATAGACAGACAGTAAGTAATAGGGTCCCGTTTTTGAGTATGAAACTCTAAATATGAAAACCTGGTCAGAAAACACTTCACAGATTTTGTTAATAAGGTTCCAAGTTGCATACTAACCACGATGTCCAGAACATTCTCGGCCATTGCATATGTATGCACCGGATCCTCATTGTCGCCCTCTTCACTTGTATAGTTTGATGGAAACCTGAAATTAAAAGCGAGTTCTGTTTATATAATTTCACTTAGCCCAGATGAACAACAGATCATTTGTTTAATCTTACATTCTTTCGGGAACCCATTGTTAGATGATTATAATGAGATAATTAAGTCAACATCAACATTTCTTTATTCAATACAGGCTTATTTAAAGCTCTTATTGAAGGTCAAAAAATGAGCACCAATGTACACAATCCACAAGATCAACACATTTGCTCTAATATAAGAAAGATTTTTCTGTTTTACCAAATAAGCAGATAAGAGCAGAAAAATTTGTATAACATGACAACTTGCAAGTATAACAGTCTATATATGTTATAATCCAGTGGAAAAAACTCTTTATTAAAATGTGGCATAACATTTTGCCGCTAAAGTTCTAGTTGAAATATAGGATGACCCAATTTTTAATGTTACGTTGTTGTTCGATCCCCGCTACTGGAAGAATATTGTGGGATGAACATAAGTGTTTTTCTAGTGTCTGGGTGTTATATAATATGTATTTATACTTACATATCTATAATATGTATTTATTTACAAAAAAAAGGTATGTTTATCGGTAATCTAGTACCCATAGTACAAGCTTTGCTTAGTTTGGGACTAGATAACGTTGTGTAAAAATGTCCAGAAATATTCATTATTATTTTTTATTATAAGCTTATATGTATATGTGCATCAAGAGGTATACAGATTTAAAATGTGTCTGTATCAAAAAAAGGCAAAAAACTGAAAGGCCAAACGAGACAATTAGACCGGTTGCCTTGTTTTACCATTCTGCATTGTTCGAGTGCATGTCAGTGTGCAAAGCGTTCACTCACCACCCCGTGTGGCCCTGGTACTGGCCGCGCCACCAGCCGTCGTTGCTCTTCTCCAGTATGAGGATCCTGGTGCCCTTGGTCAGCGAGAGCTCGTCCGGCTGCTGCGCCTGGTAGTTGTACTTGACGACGGCCGTGCCCAGCGCCTCTGCCGGCTCGGGCCTCCTGCCCCCCGCCCCCGCCCCCGCCGCCCCCGCTCCGGCGCCCCCTCCGCCGCCCGGAGACTCGGGCGCCCCCCGGACCGGCGAGCTGTTGGACGGCAGCGTCTTCGAGCCGGAGCCCTTCTTCACTTTCTTCTTGATGCTGCAACCGATGAGGATTGTTTGTGTAACTTTGTATTGGATTCGATGTTGCCGACGTATGGGATCGCAATGGTCCGGTATGGTTAGAGCTGCTCGCCTCGACCAAAGGATTTTTTTTTACATAGGTGCTTAGAGTGATGTTTTAATAAAGATAACGCACGTCCATACTGCGCGACATTATACGACACATGTAAGTTATGATATAGAACGTATGCTAGGGAAAGAGATAGCATACTAATGAACATTACAGCAATTGCCGTAATATTTGTGCCTCAGTTTCGGCGAGGTAGTATGATATCCATACCTGTGGGGTAAAATGGTAGCCAAGCAACATTTTTAGAATCTCGTGATCATTTCGTCGTCCGATGAAAATAAAGAAACAAACAGTTTTTGTTTCTTTCAATTCGTAAAATTTCCCCCGTATAGCAAAGGAAACCTGGTCAGCATTAGACAATAATATCTACCACTTATAGCCGTGACAGCTCAGTGTCCGAGCGCTCGCCTTTAATTACATTTACTCGAGCAACCTGAGTTCGTTCCCCGGTGCGAGCACCAATGAAATTGTTGATTTCAAGTGCTGAATTATCACGTGCTCCGCGGTGAAGGAAAATATCGTGAGAAAACCTGCATATTTTCGAATGAATAATAAAAAAAAATATTTCGAAGATATGTGAAGTCCGCCAATCCGCAGTGGGGCCGCGTGGTGGACTATGCCCTGATACCCTCTGTACAGACGAGGCCTTTGTCTTGCAGTGGGACATGTATAGGCTGATACTTTACTTTACTTTTATCTACCACTTTTCAAACATTGAATGCGAAACATCTATTTGTTAATAAGGAAGGATATTAGTTGCGAAGGATATAAATCATCCGTCATAATCCGTAGACTTCATAGCATTCAATAAGTAGTAGGCCTACGATAGTAGGCTAAAGGCCCATTTACACGATGCCATTTTCTTGTACATACAAGAGCAATAATTGAATGCAATAAATTGCGCGCAATAATTGTTTGGACCATTTGTTGTTTAGACCATGCAACTCATTTATTGCTTCAATTTAATTGTATACAACAGGCAAGAAACTGGCACCATGTAAATGGGCCTTAATATTTAGAAAAGTTCATCAACGATGTTGCACGTAATTGTACCATCATAGAATCAACACAAGTCAGCCATATGGACGGCGGACGCGGTTCCGCATAACAAATGGGTGCGTTATTTTATCGCGGCTACGTCATCCGCGACAAATCAACGTCCTCACCTGCCCACCAAAGGAGCTCTAGTGGGCTCCGCAAAGATAAAACTGTCGATGAGCATTCATTATTTTAACACGTCTTTTGCTGTGTGTCGTAAAGTCTGATGTTTCGGTGGCGCAGTTGCGAATAGTTTCCTATTGGTTTCAGAGCCAGCGGTCGTGGGTTCGATTCCCACACGGAACAAGTGTTTGTGTGACCAACAAAGTTATCCCGGATCTGGGTGTTTGTTTCCGTGGAGGGTTGATGGCATGCAGGTAAAGTAACAGCCTATACATGTCCCACAGCTGGGCAAAGGCCTCCTTTATACAGGGGGTACCTGATACTGGTGGACTATGCCCTGGCATAGTCCACCATGCGCCCCATTGCGGATTGGCGGACTTCACATATTTTCGAAATATATATTTTTTTGTTATTATTTCGAAAATATGCAGGTTTCCTCACGATGTTTTCCTTCACCGCGGAGCACGTGATAAGTCAGCACTTAAAGTTAAAAACTTCATTGGTGCCGGCACCGGGGATCGAACTCAGGTTGCTCGAGTATATTGAAATAAAGGCGAGCGCCCGGACACTGAGCTATCACGGCTCTACTGAGCTATCACGGCATGCAGGTGGCCAGTCGTAAAAGACCTACCCAAAACCGCTTATAACATGATTCACATATTGGGCCGAGCCCATCTTGGTGGGATAAAGGGGGGAGGATGATGATGATCCCTACATCTATACAGATAAATAAAATTGGAGTGTCTGTTTGTAATATTAAAGTAACCGCTTTTTACTAAATGCATATGGATGTACACACGGTACATATATCAAAATAACATTTTTTACAATTTTTGTCTGTCTGTCTGTTTGTTCCGGCTAATCTCTAAAACGGCTGGACTGATACTGATTTGGACGGGACTTTGGCAGATAGCTGATAATAAGGAGTAACTTTGGCTACTTTTATTTTAGATTTTTTTTATTTTAAATTCCACGAGGACGAAGTCGCGGGCACAGTTAGTAACATTAGAAATGTGAATGTAAGTTTGTTTGTTACGCTTTCACGCCAAAATTAGTTTTGTATAAATCTAAATTTATATTATATCTTCATTTCGACAAAATGTTCAATGACACAATTGGGATTTATGTAAAAATACATGTAGAGAATAAAATATCAAGTTTTGGGCTGAAGACTTCATGGATTAATTTATTGAAAACATCTAAGGATGATGGACAGCGATCCCTCATCACACAATCTTTCGTGGGAAACAAATGCAAGCTGTATACATTTGTTTCCCACGGTACAAAATTAAGGTTTCAAAAAAGTAACAAGGGTCTGTGTGATGGTTATTTGAGTAAATACACCTCTAGAGGGTTTCAACTATGCACATAATTTAAAAAAAAATGGGGTGCCTCGCGTCTCCCCTTGAAAACTTAGTCTTTTGGAGGTTAATGTTCAATTAAAACAGACAGATTTTTACGTTATCGTGATTTCATGTGACACCCTTACGTATGCTTATTATAACAGAAAATGTGAATTCATTTGCAACAAAGCATAATTTACACATAGTGATAGACACTTACGCCTGCAGACAAGTTTTTTTTATTTAAATTCTAGGCATAAATAATGTTATATAAAAATGATAAATATTTTAAATCACTCGTAAGTAATTAATTACATTCATTTGAACTTATCTCTAAAAGTGCGTGATTTATACGCAAACTCATTTATTTTACGCGCGATCATTCATAACTAACACGCACACAAGTTCGTTTGTGTGCGTGAACAGTAAAATTTATGAATGACTACCGCGTTATCAACAAGTTCTGTTTTTTAGGGAATAGAATGGGATTTTTTTTTGAAAAAATAAAAGTTTGTTTTTATTTCAATAAACGATTATACTACCGAGTCTGAACCTCCTGTGTAAATTTGGGCACCTTTAAAAAAGTTTAAAAACAAAGAAAGTAAACACAATCTCCATAACAAAAAAGGTATAAGAGTAATAAGCGTAAGATAACTACTACACTAAAATTATTTCTCCTATTTGTATACCTATATACAAATGTATCGTATACAGCGTGTCGTTACCATCGCGACAATAAATGAACACACATATAGGGGATAACTTTTTAAAGTTGTATTAAATATTTAAATTCTTTAAACATTAATATTTACAGAGTTATTAAATTTTCCAAAACAAAGAATTTTAGAACACCCTTACCTATAAAAGCGTAACGTAAATTTCATTTGTAAAGGTCACAAAGCATATGAATGGGTTGAATGAATTTAAAAGAGACAAAACATACTGTTAGAAGGAGAGGCTTGTAATACGACGCTGTGCGCGAGTTGTATACAAA